CACAGAGATGAAGAGACCCATCTTTTTTCTCTTTGAACAACACAGGGGCTCCCACGGTAGATTTGGCCCATTCGATGAACCCCCTTTCTAGGTTTTTGTTCACGTATCACTGCATCTCCTCCATTTCGAGGGGGGACATAGCATACATTCTCGGGCGTGGGAGTTTGGATCCTGGCACCCATTTGATAGAGCAGTCATTGGGTCTGTGAGGGGGCAGGGCATCACATTCTTTTTCACTAAATGCCTCCGCCAGTTCCCGGTATTCATTGGGGATGAGTGGTTCGCCTGGCGGCAGTGAGTCAGCCATGTGTGCTCGCTCATTGGGTGGCCTAAGCTGTCCCGCAACATCGGTTGAATCAGCGGGAGGTTTAGGCCCTATAGTAGTCTCACAGTTCTCATTCCTTTCTCCCACCAGATAAACAGCTTCCATTTGTCCAACCAGGCTAGCCCTAGGATCACAGTCTCAGTCATTTTTGGAGCCACTAGGAAGCGAATAAGCTCCCAGTGTGCACCTATTTCTAGGTGTAAGGGCTCAGTTAATTGTGTGACAAGAGTCCCTCCCATCAGGGAGCCATCGGCTTGCTCAAACCTCAAGCCATCGGCTTGCTCAAAGCTGTTTTGCCCGTATGCCCATTTTCATGGCAAACGGCAGACTAATAATGCAGCAGGTGCATCCAGAATCAATTAGCACGTTTAAGTCCATTTGTGCCCCAGACTTAGGGATTATAAGTTTGGTGGCCAGTGAAAAAGGCGGGATTTTTCGACTCACCATCGGGTCATTCTCTCCTTCATCGTCGCTGTCAAAGGAGGGTAGAGTAGGGGCGGGTCCACCCGGAGTCCTCCTGTGTGTGGGGTGTAATCTGGGCAACAGGTTCTTGCGTGACCCGGTTGGATTTTTCTCTCGTTAGCCGCTGGGCAGGTTTCCTTCTCGTCACTGGTTCCGGTCTGCTCTGCAGTTGGGGGTAGGGCACTGGACAGGTTGCTGCTCGCTGTCCCTCTTCTCCACACCAAAAACATTTATTTGACGGGCCTGCATGTGGCCTGGGTCTCTCAGCCATTGCAGTAGTTGGAGGTTTTTGTGGGGGTGATTGCTGTCCGGGTTGCTCTGGTGGCTGCTCGGATTCAGGCAGGGGAGACTTCTTATAGTGGGTGAGCTGAACATCTAGCTTCACCGCTGCCTGGTACCATTCTTGCAGCTGATCAGGTACTGCTCGATAGATGCAGGCCTGAGAGAGGTGATCGTCTTATCCCTCGATGAAGTGATGGATTAGGAATTGTTCAGCCCACCCCTCTATTTGACCTGCTATTTTGCGAAATTCCCACATGTACTCCAGGGCAGGCCTGCCGGCTTGTTTTATTTTGTGGATTTGTTCTCTTGCTTTAAGACCAATAGATGAGTCCTCAAATCTTTCTCTCAGGCCTAGGAGGAAGAGGTGGGGGTCCTCCAATTCGGGGGCTTGCTCATTATATAAATTGTTCAGCCATTCGGATGCTTCTCCCTCTAGGCTGGATGCAATCACATCCACCATGGCCCCCGGGTCCGGGTAGAGGTAGGCCCAGCAATTCAAATGAGAGCGCACTTGGTTGAGGAAAAAAACCAGCTTCTCTGGGTCCCCATCGAAAGTTGCTCTGAAAAGTGATGCAATTATAGGCTGTTGGGGGCCCCACAGTGCTGTTGCTGCTGGCCCCATCCTGGCTGCAGATTTATGCCCAGGGGTTGCACTTTTGGGGGCTGTGGCCTATCATCTTGCTGCTGGCCCCATCCTTGCTGCAGATTTATGCCCAGGGGTTGCACGTTTGGGGGCTGTGGTCAATCTCCTTGCTGTGGTCGTTCTCACACCAGCTGCTGATCTCCTGGTTTCTGTACCACCCCAAGCTGTTGCAAGGCCTCTATTAGCTGTGGCAAGTTCAGAGATTGGTTTGCCAATCTCCCCATTGCTGCATAGGCCTCAGACTGGGATTCCCTCTCTCTTCAGGGCTGGAGTCCCTGGCAGAGGAAGACAGGATCTGAAAGGCTTTCTGATCTGCAATGGAAGGGCTGTAGGCTCCTCTCTTCCGGAATTGATTTCTGCTTTTCACCTCTGGGTTTTGAAATCTTTCCAGTGATTCACCCAGGGCTTGAGTGGCAGGCGATTCGTTAGCTGTCCACCATTGTGCTTTTGAAGTCTCTGCTTCCAGCTGGGAGATCTGCCAGAGTTCTCCCTCCCCCGGCTTGCCGGCTGTCGCTCCCCCCCCCCCGGGGAAGCTGTTGCTGCTGGGGTGCTGGCTTGAGGCAATCTTTCTTCTTCCATAATGAGATCTTCCCCGAATCTTTGTCAGCCTATCCCTTTAGTTTAGGAATAGTGACCGGGGCCCGGGACCCCTTAAATGGTTAAAAAATTTTGTAGATCTTGGCATGTTGTCAAGGTTCCGACTAATGAAACACTTCCAAGAACTTCCAGGCATTGTTTATCCTAAAAGTCTTTATTAACAGTATAACAGATTGTCGGCACATCATGGATGGATGCCAAGATCTGAAGTCTCCACCCTAAAGCAGTTATTTTTGCTACCATTTTCCCTCCCTCTTTTGCTGTCATGAGTCACGTTCTCCAACCAGCCTGGGGGGCAAAGGTTCACTTTCTTCTGATGCCCACGCGAATTGCTCTCTCTCTCCATTCTCATCTGAGTTAACTCTAAAAGTGCCAGACAGTTCTGCATATTTTGTCAAAGCAAGAATATTCAATATTAGCAGTGTTGACACCTTTTTTACCACTGCTGCCACACTGCACTTTTGAGATGCAAATGTAACCTTGCCAGAAATGTAGCAAAAGTTATCTGTATTGTTTACACAGTTTCATGGCATCTTGGCTTCTGAGGGAAAATATCACGTAACTAATCAAAATATGTAAGAATTAACACGTTTTATATTGGAGGTCGATAATTTCCCAAAATCTGTAGACCAATGAGATGTGCAAAGAATAATAACAGAATGTAATGAATCAAACCTCCTTCCCATTACCTTTCATAGACAGTAATTATATTTAATTAGGGTTTGAAAGCCTTATTTAGTAATAAAAATGAAACTGAAAACTCAAAATCTATACTTGCTTTCATCTTTTAATGCTAGCAGGAGCTTTATGAACAATATATCATAAACCTAATGACTTTTCATCTTTCAAGAGCTTTGAAAGCTTTTTATAAATCTTATGTTGAATGCTTTTATTTACTGTATATGACTTCCTCTATGACTACTGGAGCTGGCAAGCAAGCAACTGGAGTTGGGAACAAAAAAAGCCAGCTGCCATCAACAGCCCAGTTGGAGAAAAGGATGGCAAATAGACTATTACAACAAAAGGGCAGAACAAGAATCTTTCTCTCTCTTTCTCCCTCTCCCTCTCCCTCTCCCTTTTAGCCTTGTGGAAGGACATAAAAAACTGGTTCTTTCCCCAGGGGTTGGGTTAAGTGAGGTGGGAGCCTCTGGCTGGCTTTGTTGGAGCAGTTTTTGTTTTATGGTTTTCACTTTTTCTTGGCTTTATTGTTGTGAGCTGTACAGATTTGTATTATAGATGGATAGCTGAATAAATATTTAAATAAATAAATTCTCTTATATTTTCTTCCACCCCGCACAGTTCTTAGATTCCATAGAAGCTGAACTTTCTCATTATATTTTATATTACACTAAACTTACTTACCTGACTCTGACCTTGAGATGCCCTGGAAAATTTCTTTTAAGTTGCCTATATTTAATGCTGGCACAAATTTTGTTTGTTTGGTTAGCAAATTTATTGCAAGGAAACTGTGCTGAAATATGTAAAGCATTATATCGAAATTTAGGCAACAGCAGAATAATTCTGATTAGTATATTTTTCAATTTTAGTCTACTTTAAACAATGCAAATCTACATTTATATGATAAAATAAAATATGCATTTTATTTATAAAATTTATTGGTATACAGTATATCAAGGTGAATATAATGAATATCTAAAGAATATATATTCTATATATATATATATTCTATATATTAGCTTATAAGTGGTTCTGGTTAACCTAGAGTTCTATTCTGAAATGGCTTGTTTGCTTGAATATGAATCCTTTCACTTTTGAAAAACATTGAACCTGAACTATACAAGTTTTGCTCCCAGATTTCAATTTTCCAGGGAGATGTTCCATTTTTATTACTATTTCTTTGTCAGTTTTTTTCTGCTATTCCTGAAAATATATACAGGTTGAGCAAGTATTTTAATTTACATTGCCTATGTTGTGTATATTTATACTAATGATTATTTAGGTACCTTAATTTTTATGCAAATAATACACCATAATACTTATTTGTGCTTTGGCCCGCTCTTGCTGTACAGTTCCATGGGCAACAATTAGTCTCTAAGAGTTTTGATCAGATCTCATTGAATTGCATCTCTTATTTCAGTATTGGTGGATTTTTTTTTCAATGTCAGGTTGTTAACCTGATACCAACCTTCTCCTCCTCCACCTCTAGGCGTAGGACCAGCAATAACTGAGTTATACTTTAATATGGTATATTTATCTATTATTTCCCTAGAAAGTGGTTCATAGGTTGTATTGATGTACAGAATCTTAATTTAAGACACTACATACTCTTTTTGTATCATTATTTTTGTTTTGCAAAATTGTTTTACATTTTTCCACATCCTTTCTTGGAAAACGCACATAACATTGAATTAATATTTCAACTTATTATATTTATGTTATGTGCATGTTTTACCACTACAGGATCACAGTGATCTGATTAGATTCTATATTTTCAAGTAAATAACAAGAAGACAATTAAAAAAGACGTAGGACCTTTTTCACTATGAAAATACTACATATATCTTATTATATTTACTGTAAAAAAAAATCTGCATTGTTTCAATGTTTGTTGTTTTGTTTTCTTTACTTAAACATTTAATACAAAGTAATTTTTTCTGTATTTTATATTGTTTATATTGTTCAACATATTGCCAATCATTCATTATTCTCTATTTTTTATTTTTCTAACAGCTGGAAATGATGAAAAGAAAGGCCAAAGATCTGTGATGGCAATAAAAGAAGAAATTCTGAATGCAAAAGGTAACTCATATAGTCTTTTCTACTATATAATGTTACACATTTCCCAATTTATTTTTTTCTTGTTTTAAGCTCTTTTTATGTACATTTTTTATAATATACATTGCTGAAAAACCAACTGATTCTTTTCCTTTTTCTGCAACTGATTATATTTCTAAAGGCTCTGTCCTTCCATTTTGTGTTTTCAAAAGAAAACGTTACAAGAATTTGACAGTAAAAGGTGTCAGTGCTGCATTAAATGATACTGATAATCTAAAGCGAAGTAAATCTTTACACTTTTGTAATATTAAACAATATATGATGAGTGGACATTACATGAAATGGGATTTCATTTTCATTTTTTCTTATACAGTTCATTAACATGCTAGCAGTCCTATAAGGCTTAGCCTAGTCATATCTGGCCAATTTGTAGAAAGAAAACCCAAATTTACTATTAGACTTATTAAATTCTTTACAACATATCCTCACAAGGGAGGGTTTAATTAATTAAGAACTAACACACTTAACATTAATTGTGTGGTGGTAGGCTTTTTGACAGTATGACAAAGTATGCTCTAAAATATAACAATTATAGCAGTCATTACTCCTCATCATTGACTTGCTGTACAGAATAGGAATTGTAAATCAAAAAAATACAGAAGTAATTCTCTTCTAAGTGACATAAAATTGAGCTTGAGTAAGCCCACTTAAAAAAAAGTGCACCTTTGGAGAAGGTGACTCTTAAAAAACAATTCTGAAGGTTTTGTTTATACCATTTTATTTTCATGAATCTTATTTTTCACTCAGTCTTATTTTTGTTGCTGTAGGAGCCCACTCTTGCTGTGTTCTGCACACACACCCTTTCCTGCTGTATTTATTACTGCTACAGGTGTTCACAATTGGATAATTTCAACAGAATATTCTCTCCTTCCTCTACCTCTGAATTTTATAATTCAGTACATCTTTAAATTGAGAAGAAGTGAATTTGCAGGCTCCCTGAAGCCCTAGGCAGTATAGATAGTATAGTGATAGTGATAGTACAGATGTAAAAGAAATGTATGTAGCTGTGAATAAGAGAAATAATTTGGCAATAGGTGAATTTCATGGCTCATTTGGGATGTTTGCACAGCTCAAAGCTTTCCATTACAAAAAAAACTATAGAAGCAGGAAGAAGAGTACAGGTGTAAGAAAATCCAATTTGTACAGAGTGCTTGTAAAATCAAATAATGTTTTATTAGTTATCACAAATTCTTTCTATTTATTTTATTTATTTAAAACATTCATATAGCCATTCATCTTTCACCAACTCTGGGTGGGTCCCAAACAAGAATTAAAAGACATATAAAATACATATAAAACATTTTAATAATCATAAAATATAACTATTTAAAACCTAAAGCATAAAAACAATAACAATTTGGATTCGTCCAACTATATAGATCCATTTTACATTTCTCCTTGTTGGGATTCTTTGGAATAATTCTTAAATGAGGATATTTCTGCATCCATGCAGTATAGTGCTAAATTATTCTATAGGTTTACATCTTAGTGGGTTGCAACACTGTCATTCTTGCATTGTGTATTTTAAGGGCAACTTGCTTTAATGGTAATACATTCAAAAGTGAATGAGGAAATCCCTGGAAGAACCAAAACACCCCATATTTCTGCCCAACTGTGTCTACCCTGAAAAAAATTAGAAGAAATTTGGAGTGTGATCACTTATTTTAGGTTGGAAATAAACCGTCCTATTTTGTGCATGCCCCCAATTGACCACCGATCTACAGTGAGGACATTGGGATATCGTTTGGACTGTAGAGTATAGCTGGATGTTAGTAAAGAGAGGGAAGATAGTTAAGACCGATGGGGTGATACTACCAGCAGGCCCCACAGAAGACATACTGTACAGACCAGCTACAAGTACCTTGATATTCCATAGTCACATGGGACCTGATAAGGCTAGGAAGACAGTGACATTCAAGTACTGCCAAAGAAAGACATGTCCTGAAAAGGCAGCTCAATGGGAAGAACAAGATCTGTGCCATTAACAGTCATTAGATACAGTACCCTGCTGGTATAGTGAGCTGGTCAAAGGAGGACGTGTGTGGAGGTTTCCACCCCAGGTTGAACATCCAGAGATTGTATCCTACACCAGCTGAAAAGAAAGCAGGCAGGGTCTGGTAAGTGTTAAACCATGTCATGGGCATCCAGAACACTGAAGAATAATGAATACATGAATAAGATAGCAGCAGATCAAAGATAAAAATCAAGTAGGCAAAGTTCCATGAGAAGCTAAGACAAGACCCAGCATGGGATATACCACTGGCAGCTGAGTTGGCTGACATTGGGAAATCTTATCAGTGGCTGAAAAGAGCTGGACTAACAGACAATATTGAGGTGCTGATTATAGCGACACAAAAATAGGCACTAATCACATGATCCATTGAAGCAGGAGTACTATCAACTAGACAGTACCTAAGGTGCAAATAAGTCCCAGAAACAGTCCAACGCTGTGGCAGAATATAAAATGTGGGCAGGAACAGCATATACTCAATGACACAATTAAATATTGTGTTTCCCCCAAAATAAGACCGGGTCCTATTTTTTATTTGCCTCCAATAGAAGCACCAGGTCTTATTTTTGGGGTAGGCCTTACCTCACCTCCGGCACCGACAGTTCCACCCAGCCAGTCTACTTCTTCTGGGGCCGAAGTTCTGCAACTGCATTCAGGCCTGCATTTTGCAGTCAGACCTTTCCAGAAGACCTAAGTAGTACCGAGTACCGAGTTATGGATTAAATCCATAGCTTGGTGCTTGGCTGCTGAGGTCTTGCAGAACTGAGCTATGCAGTTCTTGGCTGCAGAGGCCTTCCGGGCCTGTGATTGAGAAATGCAGGCCTAGCTGCAGAAGATGCCTCAGAAGTGGTGGGTGGGCGAGGAGAGGGTGGCTGCAAGTTAGTGGATGCGGGGCGCATGAGCCAGCTCCACAACCCCACCTTAGCTTGATTTTTAGGTATGTACCTCGCCCCAAAACTAGGGCTTATTTTTGGGGTAGGGCTTATATTAGGCCCAACCCCAAAAATCAACTTAGGGTGTCAACTTTAAAAATGAACGTGGCTGTAGCCATTTTCCCTATTCATTTTCATTTGACACATAGAAAGGTGGGGGGGGGGATTTCCAGGTGCTTGGCTAGTCAAAATATTCTTTTGTCCTGTGGGAACCAAGGTCATCGGCTGCTCCCGACACTGCAGGCTGGGCATTTCGTGAAAAGCCCGCCAAGATGATGTATTGGGGAACATAGTTGATTGCATAGCTTTAGAGGTAGGATTTCTTAACTTTGTATTGGGGAATTGTTACGTGTGTCTTCAGACTTGGTTTCACTTTTGACATGCCGATACTTTGTAACTAATAAACATGTTGTTTGAGAAATTTCCAAGCCTCGGAGTTCTGCTTTATTTCTGTCTGTTGGAACCTTGACATTAAACCAAGTCTCTTAAAACTTCATTTTTTCGGAGTGCTGGGCTCCGACTGCCTACCCACTCACTTTTGGGAGGGTGGTAAAGACTCGGCGAAGACTCGAGATGGAGGAGAAAATTGAAATTGCTGCTAGTCGCAATGGGAATGAGGCTGTCAGAGTGCAGGCTGGCACTCCAGCCCCCGAGGAGGCATCCCTGGCAGGGGCTTGGCTGAAAGCTAGGTTGATCCAACCTGGGAAGCTGGTGCCACAGGATGGAACTACAGCCCTGGCGGACCTCTTCCAAGCCAAGGCTGCCTCTCAGCGCAGAAGCACTCCTGTAACTGCTGGAGAGGAGCTCTTATTGCTGCCGTCCCAGGGTTCTTCATCTGTGGAGAGCAAGAAAGGAAAGGGGTCGATGGAATAGGATGAGTGGAGATTTCAGTCCGCAGTCCACAGCCCCTCACTTGAACAGCTGAAGGAGAAGTTTGACTGACTGGAGGTGAGGGATACGATCCCTGTTGCCCAGGAGGTGGGTGCCATTGGGGAAATGCCAAGAACTACCCATCTCTTCCCCCCCCCCCGGCTGGAGCTCCAACCCAACTGCCGGAGCCCGAGCTGCTTTGCCCATCCCCCAACCAGCTGTGATATCAAGCCCTGTGTCCCAGCCAAGTTTGTTGCCATGACCTCGGGATGCCAGTCCCGAAGTCCAGCCAAGGGAAGTCCGGAGAGTAGTTTGGCCACATACCCAGGACCAGCAAGCCGCCCAAGCCCAGCAAGCCACCCAAGCCCAGCAGCAGGTGCAGGTAGCTCTGCCGAGGTTTGAGCTGTCTCCCATCAAGCCCACCTATAATGGGGATCCCAAGAAGCTGACTTCTTCTTAAACCAGGTGTGGGCTTATTTAGATTGCTACGCTTATGTCTACTTGGATGAAGCTATGATGGTGAGTACTGTGGTGGCAATTTAGAGGGAGAAGCGGCCGACTGGGTGACCAACCTCCATGATGAAGGGGCTCCTGAATTGCACGACATTAATCTATTCATGGAGCAACTGAGGGGTCAGTTTGAAGACGAATCCCGAATACTACTGGTCGAGAAAGAAATCCACGCCTGAAGCAAAGAGGTCGCCCCGCAAAGGAGTATGTCCGTGAATTCATGAGAGTTGCCAAACAGCTGGGGCAGTGGCCTGAGCAGTCACTGATCAATTACTTCAAATGGGTTAGATCGCGATTTGCTTCAAGCCTGCATCATTCGAGATTTTCCTAACCTGTTGCATGAGTGCTACCATATGGCATGATGCTGGACATCAAGCTAGACCGCCCCTGAAAGTCAAGCACCACCAAACCCAAGCCGCCATGCGTCCAAGAACAATGCCTCTATGGCCGATGACCCCAAGCCTCTGCAGCTGCCAATGTCCCCCAAGCACCAGCCAGGGCTCCAATCAAGTACTATCAGTGCAGTCAGATGGGTCACCATGCCCAGCTCCTCACCTCAAACCAGGAGTGTATGAGCCATGGCCGCAAAACCGCAAAGAGCTCTCAGAGGGGGAAGAGAGAAAACCAACTAGGCACCTCAA